TATTTACGCAGTTCGAATAGGTAAATAGAAATTTTTTTAAAAAAAAAAGTTATTTTGAAAAAAACCATGCAACTTAAACAATTAAAATGAAATTCGAAAAAGAAAAAATTACTTAAAATAATAAAGTTATAATTAAAAATATAATATAAAGAATATTATTTGGAAAAAAGGAACGATGGTGACTTTTTTCCCTCCTACGGGAAAGGAAACTAGGTTGCCATATATTAAGAAGTTCGCCAAGTGAACTATTCTTGGCGCAAACTGAAAAAAAAGTGCCAACATAAATTTGTGAATTTCTCCGTAAATTTCGCTCCAAATTTTACAAAATTTCATATTTAGGCGTAATTTGAGTTGTAGAATCGAAATATGTAAAAAAATTGGTATGTTATTTCAGAAAAAGTCCGATTTTGTGTCAAAATACCTATGTTAGAATAGTGCTATATATAAATCTAATATATATCCTAAGTCACGGTTTCGAGACATGAAGAACGCAATTTGAATTTTGTCAATCAGCTTAGTAGAACGGGAGATATAGCACTGTCCCTTTTTTTGGGGGCGGGGAAGCAGTGTACATACGTAAAAATGAAATAAAATTTGAAAACACAATTTAAAAACTACTGTATTAAAAATGATTAAAAATCTGTTTTTACCTCATTTTTTTTCGTTATATACATTTACTTCAGTTTTTTTATATGCATTTACTTAATTTTATTTTGTTATATGCATCTGTTAGTCTTTTTGACAAATTTTTAGATTGTTTGAGTATGGCAAAGGAAACGAGATCTATCAGCCGAAGGAAATGGTTGTCTCTATGGATGACTTTCTAAGTAAAACATACTGATGTTCATGTTACACATAGGGAAAATTAAAAAATCCAACCATGCAACCAGTTAGTTTGTTTGGGTTCGAATATGAGTCGAACTAGTGGTAATCAGAAATCTTAGCCAGGAAGCCATTGATTGGGTTTGACAGATTTGGAAACCTAATAAATAGTATTTAATAAATATAATATTATTAAACGAATCGGATTTATATAAACCAAATAAAATTCTTATATCGAACACAACTAAAACTCGATATAACTTACACTGATAAACTGATGTGTAATAACACTGATAAATTAAAATACTAAACGGAATATACATTAATTCTACATAGATAATTTTTTGTAATGTATTTCGCTGGGAATGTCTGGCCGCAAAATCCTGATTATATATACCCTTATTTTAAGGTTGTCACATATCTGATGGTTTGACTTTTACCTCAAAACACAAAGAATCCACAAAATTCAGTAAAATTAATAACTTTATTTCCCTGTTGAAAATTCTCTGAATCTTTTCAAATATAAAAGCACACGCGCCAAGCAGTTTTGCTTTAAATAAATATATGCAGCAACGAGAAGATGCGCTTTTTGACAGCAACTCGTTTCGAAAATCGAAAATTTTTCTAAATGTAAGAGATTTGTTGCTTAAATTAATTTTTCATTAAACAAAAAACAAAATAGAATTGCATATTATTAAAAATATTTTATTGATAATTCAGAATCTGAAAACAAGATATTGTTATATAAAAAAAAGAAAAAATAAACAACATACTTCATTCAACGGAGGCCAACTTTGGCGCATGCACTTTTCAACAGAAAAATATTTGAAGCATGCTATGGATAATGGTTTATTTGATTATAGCAAAGTACTCAAGGCTTATTTACCTAATGTGAAGAATGCTTTTGCTGGAGAACTATATAGAAAACTAAAAAAACATCCTCGCAGCCAGCCCGTTTGCCGGGATTCAAACCCCGGACCCCAGTTGTTCCGTTAGACTCCGTTCAGCCACTGGTGGGCTGTCCGGTAACGAAAAAGCTCAGAATTTCATATTAGAGGGAAAATGGTAGCACAGGTATACTGAAATGGCATACGAAATTATTGCCATTTCAGTAATGTGAAGTGATTTCGAGAATGTTTTATTTATTAATTATTATTTTATTTAGCTTATGGCAAACTATACGAGGGCTATCTCTTAATATACTGGTAGTTTGACCCGCATGCAAATCCCTGTGAACAGGCTGATTGCATAGGCGTTTTTATGGTTTTAACTTTTTGTAGTGCGAGATTGTTTCCCTTAGAAAATCTGTCACGAAAGCATACCTTCCCTTAGACAGATCGCCTTCACGTGCTTAATAATCTAACAAGCCAAACCAAACACAACCCGAGCGAGGGACTCGTAGTCAAGGCACGTCATCATGAAAGCTAACTAAAATTGGCTCATATTTTCACATTAAACATGGGCAGCAAAAATTCGCTAAAACTGGTATGCAGGCAATCCATTCGTCAGGATTTGAACCCGCTTCAAACTATTAGTATTCAACGATTTTACCTACTTCGTTGGCGGCCTTTTGTAGTATCTATAAAAAGTAATCGCAAAGACACAATCATTGCGTACCGACGGATGAATTAAGTTCGGAATTTAAAGAATAACTTTCATTCGTGCTATTGCTGTTAGCATTGACATTTGGACAGATGTTAATTTATTAAATTCTTTTAATGTAATTAATTCAATTCTTTAAATAATTGATCTTCTGACTGTAATTTTTGTGGCGGAGTATATCTAACCCTTCCGTACATACACTGTTTTAATTAATTTACACTCCATTAATTTTAAGAGATTTTATATCGATAGATTTCTTTCAAAAAGTTTCAAGGATTACATATTTTTTTTCTTTTAGATTTCAAAAATTTTGGATTTAAAATCTTAATAATAAAATTTTTAAAACAAATATTCTAGAAATTCCTTCGGCGTATTCATTTATTCCATTTAGTTGAAGTTTCGAGTAGAATATCTTCCTTTCAACATTCATATAATTTTTATATGTCAGTTCGCCATTTCTACGGAGCATAGAGCCACACATACGAGTACAAAACAGGCATGCTGAAAGCACAGTTTTAACATTTAAGAATGTAAAAAAAGAATATACCATTATAATAACGCGCATTTGAAATACGAAGGCAAATAAGAAGAAGCTGGTTGCAACATTTTATATTTTTTCCTGACGAATCAGAAATTGTAATCAACTTTTAAAACAAAAATAAAATATTTGATTGTATAGCATATGATTTATTAAAAAGGGCGTCTTCCATTACAATTCTTATTTTTTCCTTGTTTCTACTAAAATTTCGGCAATGTACTATAACAACGTCTGGATCCCGTGTTGACTTTCATTTGTATAAAGTATCCACAAGGCAAACAGTTGTAAAACGATTTATCTTCATTCGCAAACTTTTAGTCGGCACACAGATAATACATACCTGCTGGCTGACAAGATACTTCACTCTAAGGACTTTTTCCTAAGTGCTCTTTTCAAAGAGACTTCACACCCTATTAAGACCTTTGTGTCAACTGACAGCCGCCTGCAGAAAGGTAGGGAAGGAAGACCAGATCGCGTCGTCTAAACACGTCTTAAGCATCTTCGCGAATTTGGGCTTCGTGTACACGTCTTAATTTTTCGTGCGATTTAAATTCGTGTAAGCTTCTAAGCATTTTTAAAGGAAACCCTGAAAACGTTTACACACGTCTTAAGCAGTTAAGGGGTTAAGCTGCTATAGGGAGTTGAGAACATATTAAAAAATTTTTAGGGGTGTGTGATATGAAAAAGGTTGGGAACCTGTGATCCAAGCAATATAACTGATTTACAAGCTTGAACCCAGTTTTGAGGGGGGAAAAAGAGATTGCATGGAATAAAATCCAGTGGATTTATATTCTTTCCTCCTATTGCCAACTCCTAAAAGAATCTTCACGGATGTTCTGGAATAACAGTACATCAGTAAATATGTGCAAAAGATAAGAAAATTACTTTCAGTATCTAATAAAACACATCACAGTTAATTTTAAATACTAGATGCTCATGACTTTTTAATTAGCCATACACTGAAAAATAATTTTCAAAAGCCTTGTTTTTCTAAAACAGTTTGAAATATACATCTTATGAAAATAGATTTTTCTAATCATTAGATAACCTAAAAAATAACAGCTCTTGTTAAATGTGTATTAACTGCATTAAAAATTATGACTATTTTTTGCAAGTACATAATATAGTTTTACACGCCTAAGTAATAGGATAATTCACTGAGAAGAATAAATGCAAGCTATTTAATTAAAAGCTTTCATGGTAAATGCACTAGAATTAATCATAATTTTTACAAGTACAAAATGTAGTTTGGTAAAAGTATATTTATAGGTACCTCTTGGTGAATTTTGGTGGTACATGGATAATCGAGTTTGTGAAACTCTTTTGACTTATTATTTTGGCTTTGTGTAGCGGCGATTTTAGCGCCAAAAATCACCGCTACACAAAGACAAAATGACAAGTCAAAGAATTGCACAAACCTGGTATCCAATTACACACTTACCTATTTCATTAAAAATCACAAATTCACAACTAAGCATTGCACCTCCTGACTTTATCTTGTCACGGGACCTATTTTCCTCAAAAAATCAGAAATTCCAAAGTGGCATGTGCCTCCCTTGATTTTGTCCATGTACACATTGATATATTTTCACTTGAAAAATCAAAGGAGCACCCAGTTCTAAGTAAAAGTACATTTACGGAACATTCAACTACTCAGGAACAACTTGGCGATAAACAAAACAACAACATGGCGATAACTGAAACAACAACTTCAAGATAATACAAGGGTACCCTTCAGTCTACTCTAACTGTGCAGCTTCCACAAAGTAAAAGGATAATCCACTTTTTAAGCAGAATAAGTGCAAGTTACTTATTGCTCACACTAAAAGTGAATTACGAGTGCTCTGCTTTAAAGCTAAATTAACTCAGGAAATGGTAAATACACAAATGAATTAGTAATTCATTATTTAATTTAGTACTATTTTAGCTCCTGAATCAGTTAATTAAAACTTTTAATTAGGCTAAGATATGAAAACTACATCAATACATTTAAAAATGTTCCTTTGCGTTACATGTAATAGCTAACTAAAGTATCTACCTTTCCACAATCGAACGCAACCATCATCACCAGATGATGCAAGAATTGTGCCAGTTATATTCCAGCTAACACGCCAAACCTAAAATTTAAATTCCATCCGTTAAAATATATTATTAAATTGTACATTTTAATCATTCATGCATTTTAAATAGTTAATATTATTATATATAGTTAGTTAAAGTGCAGTTAAAATCATTGAATAGTTTTATGTCATTAAAATGGTTAACAAATTTTACATAATTTCACTGACAGTTTATTTCTCAAAAAGTAATTAGTCTAAGTGTCCCAGAAAGACACACTATTATTTATAAAATCGAAAATATAATTAATGTAAATATAGATATTCCTCACTTAACATGGTTTGGCTTAGATTTGATTAACATTGTAAAATTGCCAAAATCCCTTTGTACATGCTACAAATACTGTAATTAATATAGCTTCAAATTTGGCACATTAAAATATGAAAACATCACGAAATGTTCTCTGAGCAGCATTGTGAAGAGCTTGTTGCAATTGGGAAGATATTCTTTTTGATCAGCTTGAGGCGGAAGATGATAAAAATAACTTTCGAGAGATCTGAGGGCAATGACCTTTCCAATACTGATCCATAAAGTGTACAAAGCCTAAATGAATGTGTAGACGACATTCTAAAGAAGATCACACTTGAAATAATGGATTAAATATTTCAGAATTGTTTAATGTGTATTTGGTTATATTTGCTGTTATTGGCATGGAGTGAAGGTGACAAACTAGCTGTAAATGTATGTGGTTTGGGATGACAAAGTTTCATTTCACGCAAAGATTTATACACGAACAACATTCTGAAATATACATTTTGCAATAATATCATTGTAACATTTGATAATTCATTTGTAATAAATAATTCTTGTATCAGCAAGCAATGGGTCCAGATCAGGGTTAGCACTGGTTACTGCGCCCAAGTGACCTCAAGTGACTACATTAGTGCACCACCTGGTTCAGTGTGATTAATCTATTTGCTGCTCATCATGCACTGGCGCGTGACTGGTGTATTGCTGAATAGCCAATCATTCTCTGCACTGGTGTGGAGTGATGTCTCAGTGCCTCACATGCACGCGGAAAAGCACAACCTCATTGTTATTTTCAAGTTCAATCAGCATTTTATTTTGGTTATATTTGCTGTTATTGGCATGGAGTGAAGGTGACAAACTAGCTGTAAATGTATGTGGTTTGGGATGACAAAGTTTCATTTCGAGCAAATATTAGACACAAATAACATTCTGAAACATATATTTTGCAATAATATCATTGTAACTATCTTGTAATAAATTCATTTGTAATATATATATTTAGATTCATACCAAAATAATGCATATTGTTACTTATTTTGATTTACTTTTAAATGGCACGCATAAAAGACAGCATTGCAGAAGTAATTTTACATTTAGTGGTGACAATGCGTGGGTGCATATGATAAAATTCTATGCTTAAATTACATATAATAATCTTTTAATACCTTTTTAAATCATATTTCTTAAAATAACTCAACATATGGGTACAATCTATTTCTATGACAGCATTAACTATCAATACAACCTCAACTAAGTGTTAAAGCTTGCTTGTTTGCAGAGATCTACAGCCGTTTTGCTTGTTAGCTAAGAAAAAATTAAAAATTTTTCAGTGACAGCCAATAAACCCTTAGCAAGAAAAAGTGCTATGATTAGTACAAGTCCAAGCACTTACATTAACCTTCCAAGTGGCCAAGCATTACATTAAAAAATATTTGTCATATAATTTTTAAGTACACAAACATGCATTTTGAAATGTGCCCACACAATTAAGTTAGTATATATATTGGAAGAAAAGAAGTTAAGGTACAAAGTGGGACGGCCATTTTGAAATTATAATCAAGAAACTATCACTAACTCATAGCCTTTTTTGAAACATTAGGGTTTGAGGCCAAGCCTTTGGCTGCTTGGAACATGCATTTACATTACCCTTCATGAATTTTTTCTTAATTATTCTTTATCTCTCTTAAAAAACAGCTCTACATAAAGTGAATTATTAACATAAAAACTGAACATGTTATTATGTTAATAATTCACTTTATGTAAGATGAATTTTAAATTTATCATTGACTATTATATTTTCTTAATTTTTAAGTATGCATTAACATCAAACAGAGTGACCACGCTTCCTGGAAAACTGGGAAAAGTCAGGGAATTCGAAAACTGACTAAAAAAGTCAGAGAATTTCACACGGTAATCTCCAAAAGAGGAATTTTCACACCAATATTAGAAGCGACCACTTTCTTGGTGAATAATGTATCACACGAACATCATTCGGGTAACTGGCATAGAGTCATTTTTCGCAAGACCAATCAGATTGTCTTTCAGAAAGGCAAAGCAGTAACCTCCAGAATATAAAGATTTGCATGCGCGAAAGAAGACTCCGTCTCCTAGTTCAGAGAGCTCATTTTTTTTTGTTTCCAATTAAAAAATCTGGTAAGTTAAACTTTGTAATCTTTTACACATTATTAAAAAAATTTTTTTTTTAATGTATGTTTACTTAACACTCTATTGCATTTGCTTGTTAAAATTACAAGAATTCATGCACTGCATTTTTAATGTTAAGAGAAGTCTATTGATGCTTTTTGAATAATACTATTGTGCAACATAAAAAAAATCAAATTGAACTGTCATTTAACAGTTGGTGGCGTTGATATATCATGATTATCGGACTTCGAAACTAAACAAGAAAATCTGACACTTCATAAATTACATTAAAAAAAAACTGACTTTGTCTGGTAAATGATAAAATACTGATTTATTTTTCGCTTGGATTTTTTTTTTTTTTTTTTTTGTGTGTGGTGTGTGTGTGTGTTTGTTTGTTGTTTCAATTTTTTAAATAACTCGCATTTAAAATTTTATTTTCAAGTAATAAAAGGCAGCAGAACTCAGGCCGAATTTAAAAACAAATGCGTTAAATATAATAATGTGTGCTCCCCTAATCAGAAGTAAGGATTTTTTACATACTTCATGTATTTTTGTTGTTTGACTTCTGAATTAGTATTTATTCGGCGTGTTATTGTGTCTTAATTATACTTCATGTAGTAAAAATAAGTAATCAATTCTTCTTACCTTAAAATTTATGATTTTGCTCTATCCTCTCATTCTCACACAGAACATAATCTTTTAAACCATTTTAATAAATACCTTATTTGCCATTTTGCAGTAAAATAAAAAAATAATACTCTGGCATCTAGGTTAACCATTTAAGGACCTCATAGGATGCACTGACTTTGGCATCAGCACTGGTTCAGATGTTGATTAATATATTTGCTGCCGATCATGCAATGGTGCGTGACTGGTGTTGTTGCTGAAGAGCCAATCATGCTCTTGCACATGGTGTGGAGTGATGTCTCAGATGCCAATCATGTGCTGATGCAGGAAAAGCAAAGCCTCATTGTTTATTTTCAAGTTCAATCAGCATTATGTTTTGGTTATATTTGCTGATATTGGCATGGAGTGAAGGTGAGAAACTAGCTGTAAATGTATTCGCCAATAACACTGATTATTGTAACTCAATTTTTAATCTTTAAGTAATTTATTTTAATGCTATTCATATCATTTAATGTGACTTCTTCCTTCTAAATTTACTTAATATTAGTTAATAATACTATCAAATTTCAGGCAATTTTCTCTGCCATACTCATGAAACTAATTCTAGTAGTATGATGACATACAATCATGAAATTTAGTGTACATATTTTTTACTTGCGTATGCTGATAAATAAATGAAAAATACTTTAATTTATTTAAAAATATCATCAAGTAGATTTCTTTCTTTCCTTTAGCTGTAAAACGTCTGCAAAAAAAGATACTTTTTTAATTCAGATTGGGCAGCTTCTAATCTCAGTGCAGTTTATTTTTACAACTTATTGAAGGAGTTCCTAACATGGAAAGATGCATGTTTTACCCAAAAATATTATGCTTAATAACATGGGAAGGAAAGGAATTCACAAGGCATGTAGACAGTGTAAAGCATAAGAAAATCATTTCTATGAAGATGGACTCAAAAAATTTTCTTAAACTTTATATACAGACAAAAACAGTTCTGAAGCACAGCAGTCTCTGGTACAAGTTGTTTAATCCTCAAATTTAAACTCCTTCAAAAATAAGGACAACATTTTGGCTGCAGAATTGCTATGGGCTATGAAACTTGTTTGTTCTCGTTTCTTATAATATGTTTAATGATGCAGCTGTTCTGTTCCAGAAAATATTTGATGACAGCAATAAAGGTACTTAAAGAAATGAGAATTCAGAACTCAGTGCAGTACTGTTTCGTTAAGCTATCACCAAAAATAGTTAAAAGAAGCCCATTTAAATATAGCTTGATCAAATACAGTTCTTGATTAAGCTCATTACATATAATGAATTTTTATGTGAGAAAAGGATGAAGATGTTACTGCATATACTGTATGAAAGTGAATGCATAACTTTCGTGGTTGCAGATAAATCAAAAGTGCACTTTAAAGAATTGTTAATCAGAAGTAAGGGTATTTGGAAAGACAATTTTGTTAACTATGTTGCAATGTGATTTAATCACTTTTATAAGGACTAGATTAACAATCAAGTTTTGAAGAGGTTTGGAGTGTTGTAAAACTAGTTCCAATTTTATCAGATGGCAATTCAAGTGCAGAAAATGGATTTTCAGTTAATAATATGTTGATAGAAAATCTTCAGGAAAATTCTTTAACAGCAATGCAGCTGCTCATGATGCCATAAAAGTTAATGGAGGTGTGATGAATATTAATATAACTCTTGATGTGTTACAATATGCCATACCTGTTTGTGGTGCATATCACCAAGTACTTTAAAAAAAAAAAAAAAGCTATGTGATAATAAAGATAAAGAAGTATTATTGGACAAAAGGAAAGCACAGATTAAAATTTTGGAGGGAAAAAAAAAGTGGGGTGGGGGTCTTCAATTCTAACAAAAAAATTACACTTAATTTGTATTACATATACTTAAAAGGCTGTTGACTGTATTATATATACTTAAAAAACTGCTTTTTTGACCTTTCAGAATTTAGCAAGTGTCATAATATTACTGAAGTGATTGCTCAGCAATTATATATTATTTACTAGGTTCTATCAAATAATATATAATTAATAATATATAATATATATTCACAAAATGATAGGTTGGTTTTTCAAAATCTTATGTATACAGCCAGCTACATCTTGTTTTGAAGTTCAAGTGTGTAAATTTCCATTAATTAATAACACAATAAAAATTTGAAAGAAAAATTACATATGCTACGCTGAATGATATAACACTGCCACATGGGAGTTAAAATATTTTAATTTATACATACATATACCATGTATCATACAGTAGCAACACATTACTTTTCCAAAGACAAATGTATTACGAGTGATAACACACATCTTTTATATCACCAAGTTTCCCGGTTACATTTGAAACATAAGTTATCTTATACTTTGAAAAATGGTAACATAAAGCTTTACTGTTGACACAGAAATATTTCATGTCAGACCATAATTAATTTACCCTCAGCACAGCCAACACACACTACACGGATAGATTGGAATTTTCTTAAAACATACCTGAAAAATTAGGAAAGCTAGGGAATATCGTTCTCCTGTTTGAGTGGCCCTGATCAAAGGATTAAATAACTATATTAATCAAGGGATACATATTCAAATATATACTCAAAATCTTAATATTTTTTATGATCTCAATTTTATGATAGTCTACTCTGGTTTGTCCAGAATAAAACTAAGAATCCAGGCTTTACACAGAATGAAGAAACTTCTTTTATGATGACGGGAATAGTTTTTTATTTTTTAATTTCAAGTAGACAGTGATTTTTCTTCTATTTTAGTTCAAGGTGAATTGTGCAAAATTTTACCAAGATTAAATAAAATTTTAGAACAGTGCAGAATTAACATGTTGTCATGTAACAGTTTTATTAACTGGTACTTCCTTTGTTACCAGTTATGTTGGAAAATCACCATGTACTTTGGCTAATTTCTTCAATTTCCAAATGTTTGTGAAAAATTGATACACTGCACCTACGCTATGTTTTAAAGGTTTTACATTTTTCTAACGAGTACACAAACAAGGCATCATCTAATAATTTTGGTGAGAATTAATACCAAGAATGCAATACAGTACAGTCTTTAATCCGGACTCTTCGAGACTTCGGCGATTCCGAATTAGGGGTTTTTCTGGATTACAGATCATCAATTTAAATCTGGTAAGATGGCTTGCAGAAATAATAAAATTAAAAATATGAAACCGTAATTTACGAAATAAAGAGCAATTATGATTTAAAGGGTATCAAAATTTACAAAAAAAAGCTTAATATTTATTTGTTTACTTCAGGGATGTAAAATCAAGTACACTTGGCCAAACAAACAAGGTTAACTTAGGCAGCCGCAAAAAAAAAAAAAAAAAAAAAAAAAAAAATTCATAGAATCGTAATTATTTCAAATAATCATAAAAACATATATATATATATATATATTATATAGAAAAACAAGAAAATTTAATGTTACGTCTGGATATTACATCTCTTCGCTGCTATTATTTTTATTTCGGAGAAATTTGTATGCTGTGATAACTTTCAATGCTCTCTCACGTGAGCAACATAATAAGGTTTCTTAGGAGACTTATTACCTTTCATGACTGAAAATAACTGCTCGAACCGAGAAGTTACCAAAACATGGAAATATTTCATATGCGAATTTCGAGTATTTCAAACCTGGCTCATAATATTTGTAAAATTCAGGCACGCCCACTTCAATGAATTTGCTTTCAATTTGAGTTGCATTGAATCTCGATCACCTCCATTTGCAATGGCTGGTACGAGTCAATACTTATTGGAAAAATCGAAGAAACAAAAAACAAAAAAAGTTGTCTTCGAGGGAACTAAATCATTAAACCTCATTTCAAATTCAGTTGTTAAATTTGCAATTTTTTCTGCGTATTTTTGATACAACAAGATCATCGAATTGATTTGTTCATGTGCTGGAACGGGGAAACATCTCAAATTTCATTTTTAAGTTTTTGTCCCAAAGAACTAGTGACATTGAATGCTTTAATTATGCAAACATGTTCTAATGATATGATCTTTTCCTTGTAACGATAATTTAATCGGTTTAAGTTTTAGTTATTCAACCAAGAAAGATAATCTGTAGCCATATGGATCAAAAAACAACTTACGTCTGATTTTCCTTTTTAAACTGACATATTTCTTCTTTAAAATCCAGAATTATTGAGAAATCTTGGAGCAAGCAAACCACGCACCTTCGGGAATTAAGTAGGCCAAATCCGAGTATTTCACTATTAATCACTTAAAGCAGAATTTAGCTGATTTAATGAGATCTTATAAAATTATAAATTTTTTATAATGACAAACAGTCTCCATATTATTACTTTCGTGTATAGAACTTTTGAGTATTACCTGCATATATGACTGTTTGAACCTGAATTTCACTAAGTTTTTTGTACACTGTGAGTAATCTAAACACTTATAACTATGCAGGAAAATACAAAAAATATTTAAACATTCTCAAATACAAAATAAAATTACTAATTCTTTTTAAGAATTAAATGCATACAATATGCATGGAATTTGATGGTTTGGATTATCATTGTTTTCCGATTATCCATGACCTGCTTTCCTATCAGGGATAATTGAAATAATTGTTATAGACGATTTCCATGCTTGATTATCCAGCCTAAGCCTGGATAGTCAAAAGTACACTATAATAAGTTCAATGAAATAATTTTTAAAAAATTTGCGATGAACCAAATTTTAATACTATGGTTATGATATTGATATAAGCTCATTAAATTACAACATTTCTTGTAAATATTTCAAAATATTTTCTAAAAAATCAAGAAGATATATGGTTTCCTTTTAAATGAGAAAAACTTATCAATAATGTAGATACACAAAGAACAGATTTAAAAAAGAAACAAACAACAAAAACTTCATATTTTGGAAATAAAAAGTATCTTATTTTCCTTCTACATAAAATAACTTCATTAATGATTACACAAAATGAATCAAGTTACAAAAGATCTTATATATATCTTTTATAATGACAAATTTATTAACAAAAAAATGCTTACCCTGCATTATACAAAGATTTTGCTTTATACATGCTGATGGCATTTTGCGCACAAGTTTTTTGAACTAAAAAAACAATCCCCCCTTAAAAAAGAAAAACTGATGGCAAAATAATAGCAGAACTAGTACAATAATATGCGCTTCTCAACACCTTTACGGCAGATTGGGCACTCAGACATACGATCCCCACACATTTGACATGTTCCATGGCCACAAAGGAATATCATGTTCTTCAGACGATCCAAACATACAGGACACATTGTCTGCAACATAAATAATATTACTTAACAAACACAATAATAATTTTGTGAGGTGAAGATTAAAAAATATGTCTTTATTTGTCAACGCTCTATCGACAGAAAAATTTCAGTTGGCACTCCTCGCACCTCCATTATTTGTTGACTGAAAGCCCAGAAATTTTTTTTTCACCAGTGCTTAATGAACACAACCCTATCAACTGGCTTTTTTTCCCTAACTGCTAAATGACCAAATTCCCATAAGTTGATATTTTACTGTTTTACACATTAGCTGGATTCATTTTCAGTTGGAAGTATCTAAATTTTGTCCTACCAAATGAATACTCTTAATAAGAATAAAGAATTGTGTGTAACTGATTTGTTAATATTACAGTAACTTTTAGTCAGGGCTGATATACACTGTTTGTCCTCTACTGCAAATGTATACTCACTTCCCTTTTTTTCCCTCAAAATTTTTTTTTCTTTCAGTTTACTTCATCATTAGGATAGAGCAAATAATACATGCAGCATACAAATATGTCTTATATTAATACATAGCTGCTTGTTATACACATATAATCGTATTATTAGTTATAATCAATAGTAGACTATACTTTTAGTTGCATATTATTGGTAAGGTATTTGATCTTGATTGGTAAGGTATAAGTTCTGTTTCAGAAAGGGTCATTGTACAAGTAAGGTAAAAAATTAAGTTGCACATGCCCAGAAAATTTTGTTGTATATTTTGATGGAAGTTACAGGCAACACTATCCATAGCACCCTTTAAAAATAAAGTAATGACTGTGCAAAGGCAGCTAGAGATTAGCTGCTACCAGTGGTGACCACATCCAATCATTTAAAATTGGTGTCAGATTGGGTGTGCACACCACAACTTTTCAGCAAGAAGGCATACCTCACTCAGATTCAACATCAACTCCATGATCTATATTAGTAATAAAGCAATTTAGGGTTAGTGCAAAAAAGTATGCATTATTCATGCAGAAATCATCACTGTGACATTAAAGTGGTTAACATAAGTTAGATAACAATTCTTTGGACAAGATGTACTTGTGCAATTTGAACAATTTTGCAATTACGCAGAAAAGTAATTTTGACAGTATACTTACTTACATGTAAATAAAATATTATTTACATGTTATATATACTATAATTAAAGATACTTACATATTATATAAACTTTATATGTCTATGCAATTAACTTTTTGATTACCTATGGTATAAGTGAATTTCAAACTATGTAGTTTGCTACATTTTTTTATCCCTCTGTAATTCAAGGTCAGCTGTAATTTTATAATTATGCTTTTATTTGTACTACTACAGATTTAAAATAATATCTTCAATGAACGCTGTAAATAATATTCCAGAATTTTAACATAATCTGGGATATTACTTATTATGCTGGGCAGGTACAACTTTATGATTCAAAACTACACTTTCTTACGTCATAGACAAAATTTAGGCAGCATTATAAAGAATGAGCATTCAAATTAGACGATCGTTTTCTATGTACAATAGAATCTTGATTATCCAAAATAATTACAACCATGCAGGATCAGATATACAGAAAGTTCAGTTAATAATAATAGCATTTTATTTAAAATTTTATAAATGCTCCTAGTGGCAATACCTGTTTTATTATAAAAGGATAATTCAGACCTAAAATAAGCAACCAATCACACTTTTAATTCAGTAAAAATAAATTAGTGCAGCACAAACTAATTTTGATGCGTACAAGACTACAACAGGATGTTATGCAGTCTTATAAGTTTTGATATTTCTAAGCTGCTAAATGATGCAATGTTTTTTAGCATCGAGTCTTTTGGATTACATTTAACTTGTTTTCCTGTCAGCATGCCACAAGTTAAACTGCAAGCTTGAAATAAGATTAATTTTAGTTGCTTCTTTTTCCTTCATTCTCATCTTCATAAGTTTTATCAGTGATTAGAGCTTGGTATCTAGTATCAGTACTAACAGTGTTTAACCATACATTTTCTAATATACAGTATTCACAAATAAAAGTTTTAGCATTTACTCTAGAGCTGCAAATCACCAACCAATTTTCCTCATTTTGAAGCAGGTTACCTTGCCACTGTTTTATTCTAACCATTTTATAAAATAGATGACTTTGCCTCATACTAAGCTTTGATTAACATGTAAGCATAATCCTGAAGTTTATCGCTTTAATTTGAAGAATACTGATTCTATTTGGCTATTAAGGATCAAATGAATGGGTAGTCCCTTAGAATATACATACTCAAAGCTTCGAGAAAGTCTTGATACAGCTTTATGACTTCTTGATATCTAAAATCGTGGATCGATCAATCTACCATACTTGTTTGCTAGTGATTTGTTGTCATGCCTTTTCTGCATGTTTGTATCTCAAATAGACAAAATATGCTGTTTAAATGCAGGTATTATGAATGAAAGTCTTGAAAAACAAACAGCAAATCTTACAAAATATATTCACAATGTACCAGTTAGGTAGAAATTCATTAGCACTTAATTAAGAAGTACATGAAGAAATAAGTACATTGCTAGATTATGTGGGCCATTTGACCAAATCTATGCATACTTGATTTGATGCATAAATGTGTAAATATATGTTCTGTGCATTTGTATTTATGTATATTAAATAGAAGAAACACATTTTCAACAGTAACTGTGAAAAAGGACATTTTCTTCCCTAAAGCCTCTAGTTTTAACTGAAAACCCAATCAAAAGCCTAGCTCTGGTTTTAGAATGTCAAAACAGCTGCTCAGATTCATCTAAAAATTGTTCACTTTTAATTTTACTTGTTAGAATAATCAAAGTTCTACTAAAGACACATCACATTTATTAGATACCAGAACTATCACAGATAAATAAAAGTACCAATAAGTTCATCATCAATTTGCTTACAGCTCACAATATAAATTTTACTCGTAATATACAAAATTTAAAAGATAGTTATAAATTTGATGTATATTACCTACTACAGTCAAAAGTCGTTAATTCGGACACCCGTAATCCGGAATGATCTATAATGCGGACCTCAAAGCTAAAATCTTTCTGCGCATGCGCCGCATTGACGCATGCGCATAGGCGTTTTACTCGTGCGCGCAAGACATTTACGACTGCGCATATGCGTCTGCGCAAGTTCAGAATACGTTTTCGCGTTCGCGTTTAATGTATAATGGACGGTAATAGCTAAAAATTATCTAATTATCTATTTCAGTTAATGTTGATAATTGCGTTGTTCCTTAATCTTCGAATTGGATCCGGCTTATTATTTTTTTGCAGACTGTAAGAGCAATTTTCTAAAAGTAAGCTTGAACTTTCGATTATGTCAAATAGAATTTCGAAATCTGTTTATCAATTTCACGCTGCTCTGCGGCCAGGGGGGGGGGGACGTCGCGTCGCGCAAAAAAAAACTTGAAGTTGATCTGTCAACACTATCGTTATCTTCAGGGCAGATGTTTTTATTTTATTGTGCTTATAATTCCTTACTAAATGCAGTATTTAATTTCGATGTACTCTGTCTTTGATATGATTTAAATCAAATTCCTCGTCATTATAAATATCACGAATACAAATCAAATAGTTTTTCTGGTTGCAATTTCTAATTTCGGCTATGCGTAAGGTATGCTTTACGCATCCGCGCGTTGAAAGAAATGTTTAATAAAGTAAACAAATAAATATTAGACTTCTTTTTTGGTAAATTTTGATACCCTTTAGATCATAATTGCTCATTATTTTTTATAAATTATGGTTTCATATTTTTAATTTTATAATTTCTTATTTCTGCATGCCATCTTACCAGATTTAAACTGATGATCTATAATCCGGAAAAATCGATCGCCGAAGTCCCGACGAGTCCGGATTAAAGACTTTTGACTGTATAGCTTTCTCATTTTGTGTAAGTATCCGAATGTTTTTAAAACAGCTTAAAGACACAACTGATTTCATATATTTAATTTAATAAGAAGTCATAAAGCTGTATCAAGACTTTCTTGAAGCTTTGAATATATATATTCTAAGGGACTTCCCATTCATTTGATCCTTAATAGCCAAATAGAATCAATTCTTCTTCAAATTAAAGCAATAAACTTCAGGATTATGCTTACATGTTAATGAATGAAATATCATACAGTACAAATTTAATCTCTTAAGTTAAATATAAAAACAGACCTGTTCTTTAATATCTTGAAGCTGCTGTTGAAGTTTCTGAATATCATTATGAGAGTTATCCCTACATCCATTGTTCATCATCATTCCAGGAGTAGAAGCGGGAGTTGTAGATGCTTGTAAAATAGACAGGCCAGCCCATGTCAGTACTAAAATAATTATACAAATTTTAAACTACAAGTCATTTTGAAATGATGTACAATTAAAAATGTTACAAATATTTTACTATGCAAAATATGCTTAAAATTAATTTTTTGTTGCCTCTTTTTTCAAAAATATCATTAATATTGAGAAACTACACATTTTTTCCCAAAGTTCTTTTCAAATATTAGTCATATTTGAAGGAATTATTTCTTAGCTTTTCTCAAAGCCGAAACAACAGTAATGCAGTAAATCTGCCATGATCATAATGGCACTCAGGAACCAGGAGGGACTCTTGGTCTTGCAATAGATTTCATAACACAGAAGAAACTACAAATTATCCTTGCAATACCTGGCAGTAGTTATGTCAAGTCTCTTAAATTAATAAAAAAGTAAAAAGGTTTTATTGGACTGTCCAAAAGGCATGAAGGCACAAATCTCTTCCAGTCACATATTTGTTTTGTGTGCTAATTTAAATCCTTATGACCCAATCCTTCTTCCTTATTACGATTTCAGAAAAGAAAAGCAGACCAATTTTTCTTTTATGTAGGCCAAGTACCAGCTAGACAAAGAGGAATAGCAACAGACAATAGAAAAATAATATTTCTTTAAGAATAGTATGCATGTTTATTGCAGAACGAAAACATTATAACTACCCTCTTCAATAATGTGCTATGCGAGTTTTGGCCAGCAAAACAGCTGCAACACGCCTTGGAATGGAAGATACAAGTTCTTGTTAGATGACTGGAGACAGGTTGTACCAAATGCCTAGCGACAATCATGCAAAATCGAGATAATCCGACATGGTGGTGTTTGAAATCTGAGCTGCCCCTCCATGACATCCCAAATGTGCTCTATTGAGTTAAAATCCAGCATGTTAAACTACCAGAATATTAATTGGAATTCAACCTTATGCTTCTAAAACCACTCACACAATTCAAGCCTTATGACATGGGGTGTTGTCCTGCTGGAAGTTTCCATTTATAGTTGGGAAGACAGACACCATGTAAGTGTGCAAAAGATCCGCAATTATGTTCAGATAGTTTGTAGCTTTCATCAGTTCTACTACAACTCAGGGTCTCAGAGCCATCCGTGAGAACGTCCCTCGAAGTATAATACAGCCACAGCTAGGCTGCCTATGACTTGCTGTACAAGAGGGGAGCAACTGTTCGCCTGGAAGACGACGTACCTTGACAATACCATCGACGTGATGAATGAGAATCGTGATTCATCTGACCAGGCAACTGTCTTCCAATTATCCATGGTCCACTCTTCATGTTTCTGGCCCCACTGTAGGCATAGCTGACAATGATGCTTGGTCAACATATGAACATGAGCAGAACATCTGCTGTGCAGTCCCATATCCAACAGTGTGCACTGAGCTGTAGTGTTCTGAAATACTTGCACTTGCACCCAGAGTCGTAGCTAGGGTTTTCAGCACCCAGGGATAACTGAAGATTTCGCGCCCCCTACTGCTTGCCAAGGATGGAAAAACATTTAATTTTAAAATGTCGTAACATCAGTTTGGTGCCCCTTGGATTCTGTCCCGGGGACAGATGCCCCCCCTTGCCCCCCTCTAGCTACGCTCCTGCTTGGACCAGCATTGTATCGGGCTGTCAACTGCACCACTATCTGACATCAATTTTCTGTACCAAATGGGGACAGTTTCTTTCGTCCTTTCTCTTTTCTTTGGTGACGTGTAGACGTCCAATACTTTACTGCTGGTTTCACCATCATTTATACACTTTGCATAAATACTAACAATGGCAGATCAAGAACAACCTACCAGTCATACAATTTGAAATACTCATTCCAAGTCTTCGAGCCATTACAATCTGCCCTCTATCAAATTCACTTAGATCAGCAGCCTTTCCCCCATCACTCACAAAAGTAACAGCAAAAATGATTCCTTACTTTCCCCAAGCACCAGTTAAATACTATTCCCACTTAATCACATGCTTTCTAGGTCATCCAGATGAGTTCATTGAAAAATGTTGCGATGGTCATAATGTTTTGGCTCGTCGATGTACAGCAGTCTATTATTTACTACTGTTAATAATTTACATTCCCTTTACATCTGAACAATTTTGACAAAGAGGCAGTGAACTTAAATGGCAGCAGAAATTCAGCTATGTTAATATGCAATTATGCTGATGTGG